CTAAGGTTTAAAGTGGAAGCCAGGAGGCTATTCTTGTGTTGTTTTGAAGCCTTGCACGAATGTTATGTTGAACAACCCCTACGAGGGGATCCAAGATGGATATATGAACTTTCTTTTGAATAAAAGTGGGCTACCGAGCCCTTAAACCGAAGATATTGCGAGTAGACTGCATTCTTAAGCGCTCATCATATGTGCTAATATCCCCGAACATAACACATATATATATATAATCTCTCAATCGTCTCATTCAATGTCTGGCCGGTCTGTCTGGATCGTTAGATGACCATAGATTTACTCGCAGCTATGGCTCAGACACAGCTCCAGCCTATTAGGAACACGTCAGCGCCCATTGTGACATTTCCGCATCAAAGTTTCCAACGTACTGAAGTTTGAATAATTTCGCTCGAAGCGATGAGCAAAGTTTTTTTGAATGAGCTTTGAAACATTCTAAACATTTACAGAATTCCAGACAGAATATCCGGAGCTCTAAATAGCAGTGATGTGCCGAATTCCCCAGATTGAAGAGAAGGAGGGGAGCCCCCCAACCCGTCTGACCCCCTTGGATCCGCGCCCGTCTGCGTTCTTTGACGGCGGACGCACAATACCGTCCGTGTCTTACCCGGTGAACGCGGGATGTTCGCTGCCTCGCTATTCTCTCGGCACATTGTATCTCTCGCTTTTATTGGCTCCGCTGTGCAAAGCGAGGGTGCAGCGCCAGACAGCAACAAGGGACCCCACCGCCTGCCTCTCTCCGGGCAGCGACGCTGGCTCTTTGTTGGCAAGCATGCGCTCTAATTATAGCCGCGGAATTCTGAAAAATAAGACTAAATATCCAAAAGAAACATTCTTTCTGTATTATCGGGCAAACAACAAAAAAAAAAGATATATTTTTCAGCACCTCTGCCATAAGCGAGGGCGTAACTATGGCGATGGAGAAGGACGGCGATTGGAAGGGAACAGGAATAAAAATCCACCAGGCTTTTTAAAGCTGCAGCTTCCTTTAATAAAGGGCATGAAATAAAAACTGTCTGTGATGCCTCAATGCAACTAATGAGGTTTAAACCCTATTATACTTTTTGGATGGAGCATGCAGGTACCTGTTGCATATTTTGGTTGGTTGACATGGGGCACGTCCCCTGGGTGCCTTTTGTATAAGCCCCATTAGAAAAGAAAAAAAACGACCCTTGTAGTGGAGCTACCCAGGGCAGAATTTACTCTCTCTGCTGCCCCAAGGCCAGGTTCATCAATGCGCCCCCCTACCCACCAATAAGCCCCAAAAAAACGTTTCCATGGATGTGAATGGGCCCTTTATGTGTTCATCTTAAGTCCCGACCCTTTCCTGCTAAGCTTTGTTTCCTTACCTACGACATGGCTGGTGTAAAAGGCCACA